TTTCTACTTGCTTGTGAAAGAATGTAGATATAGATAGGATGATATATTACAGTAATATCCTTTTGAAAAGGCAGGCTTGCAATGTACTATCTTTTCTTTACTTGCGTGGAAGAGCAATTTCGGTTTTTTTTAGAGTGGTGGGGAGGGGAGAGGGAGGATGGGGCATAAAATAAGCCCGAAGCGCAAAACGTTTGTAAGTTCAATAAAAGCGAGGCATTAAGATCATGTTTGTTATTCATCAAGGTGTTGAGGCTAAGTTGTAAGGTAGGGCGATTTAGTTAATCGGGTGTGCCCATTTTAAGTTACATTGCTGACTAGCAAAGTGGCATATAAATGATATGCTGCACAGTCAGGTTTGACATATGAAAGATATGATGAACAGTTTGATGTGTTATTTAATAGAGTTCTTCATTTATTTCCTTGTTTATACTACTACATGAGAAATTTCTGCAATTTGATTGGCTTAGAGCAGTGGTATTTCAGCTTAATTAGAATTATTATTCATTCAAAATATTTCTCCCTTTCTGATTGGCTAAAAGGACACGCATAATTCACCATAACCGCCTAATGATGACCAAATTTGGAAGAATTTTGCGATTAATCAAACGATGACGTTAAAAGTGCAGCTTCCTTGCAGGTTAATGCACCGTTAACCGAGAAGACCTGGGGACGAGGTTGAGTTGTTTTGGTTGTGAAAACAAAAATGGCAGACATTTCACTCTTGTCAAGAGTAAGAGCTACGCGAAATAATAGATAAAAAGAAGGAAACAACAGCAAGAAGACAACTCGAAGGGTGACAACTGCTTTTTGGAGAATATTTGCGGAGCTGAACAACCCTAAACGTGCACTATAGAAGATGAACTTAACATCGATGGAGGTAAGCGTGTTTTAGCTATTTTTTTTAAATTAGGAATTATTTCGGAGGGTGTTATCCTACGGCCTCCTCGATCTCCATAATTCTTCATATGATGCAAAAGCCGAATTCATTAATTTTTAAATACCTACTGGTGAAAATAACAAACCTTTTGCGGGTAGTAGTATAAACAAATTAATAGCATGAATTGTACCTGATATTTAGCATAAATACCACGAGTGACATTTCAAAATTGTCTCAAATTTCACTCGCCTAACGGCTCGTATAACAATTTTGCAACATCACTCGTGGTACTTATGCCAAATATTACTACAAATCATGCTATTACCTATACCAGAAACTCATAAGGGGTTCTAATAAAACTTATTTTAACTGAGTCTGGCTGACTAAGGCTATACACTCTCTTTTTTCTCCATTTAGCGTCGTCCGACCGACCCAAATTTTTGGCATTTTCAAGAAAAAAAAGTAACGACATAGTTAATCCATTTTTCTCTTGAAATAATTCTTTTAATCTGAAAAATGGGCATACTAACAGCACAGAGAACAACAGGAACAAAAACATGAACATTCCTTACAGTATATTGTGCATTTTGTTAATCCAAATATGTGAATGTTAAATTTTAATGACGTCATGGGTTACCAGGGCCTTCTATTCCGAGACTTCTTGGTTTTTTTTTTAGGTTTTTTTTTTCAATCCGACCGACCGACTCAATATCAGTAAACGCATTCGACGCTAAACGAAAAGAAAAGGGGGGATGGCCTAAAGAACGTTAAGTAAACAGTACAGTGAATGAATTTATTTTACTCACACTTATGTCAACAAAGTGTCCAAAAGTATACCCCCTTTTAGAGGTGAGTGCCACTGCAATGCTTGCAGGTGAAACTTCTCTGTTCAACTCGCAAACTCCATTTTCGATGCTTTGGTAATTTAACGACGTGCAGCTTTGGTATGCCAAACATAGCTGTGCGAATGACAGGAAGTCATAAGTCTGTTGTTTGTGGATGGTGTGCCCTTTGAGCACGTGATCCTCTGTTGTGCTTACAGTAGATGAGCGACGCATGTCAGTCCTTATCAGCAGCAACCCAACAAGGGCGATGAAAGTCGTTAAAGCAAAGAGTAGCACTCCGATCAAGAATTCCCTATAAAAATATATTAAGTGGTGATTTCAAATTTCAAAAAAAAAAGTAGGGAAAAAACTGAAAACAAAATAAAACCTCAAATCGGAGTAGTGCGCGCGCGTAAACTAGCGTCATTTTGTCTGGAAAACGCAATAGCCGTCGTTCTATTAAGGTCGGGTTTTAGCAAAAATGTCGAAAGCAACAGAAATAAGAAAAGAAATGTAAGACGTTTTATCAATTTGCAATCGGGAGAGGGCTTAAGAAAACACAAGATAAAAAATAAGAAAACTACGATAACCTTTCTGGTGACAAAGTAAACTGAAGCTTTCCGGGGTGTCTATTTTTTTAGAATAAGCGCGAAATTAAACTTTAAGTCAAATCTTTTACTCATAGTCATGCTCGTCCTTGTCCTCCAATCTAAAGGTTTCTTTCGAGATTGTCGCATATCATTTGACCATGCTCATACGTTTCGCTTACTTCCTATCGCCTTACAGACCTATATTTTTGGAAAATGAAAAAAAAAAGATAAGAATTTCATCCTTTAAGAAATTCAAAAGACGGGACAATATCCCTTTCAATGATGATTTACAGTATTTAGTGTTCACGTTTCCCCAAATAAACCTTGGACATTTTTTCCGATAAAACGGTTCTCACATGGGACTCTGCACCCCGCCTTTTCTCTTACATGTAAAATCCATCGAGTTTTCAACCCACTAGCCACCAGCGCGTTCGCAAAGACGACGTTTCGCATTTGTGATAAAGGGCCGGATAGGGACTAATTAGTTTAACAGTTTGAACAGCACGATCTCGGGCCTAGTTATGAGTTTTTCTTCACTCTTTATTTTCAGTTCTGGGCCAGCGGCCGATCTTTTTATTGCTGGAAGAAAGAGATGGCGATAGGAAACGAAACCACTGACTTTACGGCACCGTTGGGTGATATATGTGTTCTTTCCACTTTTACGACCATTTCATGTAAGACTTAACAATATAGTTGTAACTGAAACTATATTTTGATAACAAAAAAGGGTTATATTATGACTTACCAGAAAGAAGACATTTAGAGGGCTGATCTTCCTAAGATCCTCCGTTCAATACAAGCTGTCCTGATAGGTGAGCAAAATTTTACGCTACAGTACGGGAAGTTGTTTTCCCTAAACGTCTAGCAGCTGCTGATAATTGCTGCCGTTTAAAACTGAAAGCGTTGCTTGCAAAGTAAATTAAATGTGGAGCAAATTTTGGCAGTGTGCATTTTTAAATATTTAACAATTTGTTCATGCGTCAGCTTGCGTATGTCGAGATATTGAGCACGTGGGAAGTTTGGAGAGCACGAAAGAGGCGTAAGAGTAGCTAAGATTTGCACAAGGTGCAGCCTGCGAGAGTAACTCTAACCTCTTTCGTGCTCTTAAAACTTCCCAAGTGCTCAATATCTCGACATACGCACAGCTGAAGCATGAGTTAATTGTTTTATAACATTATCAAAGCGATTAATGCAGCAGTTAACTTAAATTTTTATTATTGTAACTCGCGCTTAAAGCAGCTAGTACTCGTCAATGTCTGCGTGACTATATTTTTTTACCTCATAGTTATGTTTTTGTCTTGAAACTGAGAGAACGTTTACTTAAGTCGGTTAAGATAACATTAAAAAAGATTGTAAAATCCATATTGAGGTGCCAGAAAGCTATTAATTTCACCGAAAAATTCTTTTCGAAAGAACTTTGCAAAGAATGATTTGCACACACCACAGCCCGCATAGCTAGCCCAGATGACAACAACAACAACAACACTCACCTCTTTCTCCAACTATCGGTTAAAAAATTCAAAAGTTTTCTCTTAAATTTACGTTATAAAACACATGTTAACGCTTCATTGTGTACTGTTGAGTTATGGATGCACTTGGGAGACGTCTTGGAAGGATTGCTAAGCTTGCAAGAACTCAAGGTATAGTTTATAGGCGAATCTTTGCTGAAGTCATTGTTTACATTTTTCCTCATTGGCATACGAATTATTTACTCAAAGAAGCCGTGGCCGCATATACAAACTAAATTCAAAAGCTGAAAGAGCTGATTGACTTAAACAATTTGTGCAATTTTCAGCTTATTAAAAGCAATATTGAAGGAAATATCAACCATCTAAAACTGCGAAATTGCTTGTTGGCAAAAAAGTCATACCCGACAATTCCAAAAATATGCCCCTCCAAATACAAGCCCCCCAAACCGGTAACGCAAAAAACCCTCAGTTAAATTGCCCCTCCAAATATAAGCCCCCCAGGGGCTTGCACTTGGAAAATTACCCTCAAATACAAAGTAAAACAAAGCAAAAACGGTAAAATTTAATTCCAACTATATGACTAGCCCAATGGATTTTGAAACGGAGGCGAAGGCTTCCCTCCGTAGATAAGCCCCTCCGAATATAAGCCCCTCCAAAAATAAGCCCCTCAAAAAGGGCCTTTGAAAACATAAGCCCCTCGGCTTATTTTCGGAATTTTAGGGTATTCTGGTAGGAAATAGTAAGTGCACGCATTTACAGTCGCATTTGGCTCATGCGAGGCGAATAATGACTACTGCTTTTCGATTTAGAGATTAGATGTCAGTGAAAATAACTTATTGATATTAAGAAACGATTGCACAAAATGTCAGTCAAATTTAAAACCTCATGTCTGTTATAGTCAGCTAATTCAAGACGTATTGTTGTGTTTCAATGGCAGCAATAATGGCATCTCATGTGATTTTAAGGGATCAACTTAAGGCGGACGATTACAGTATTTTGTTCATAGTCATCCGTTCATGAAAAAAATATATAATAAAATAAACGTGTTGCTTCAGAATTAAAACTTCGAAGTTCTCTGTTGGATGTTAAAAAGCTGTCAAAATTGATCTGTACTGATCTGTACTCCTACTAAATATTTTTTTGGCTGTTCCTCAGAACTAAATTCAATTTACCTTACGCTAAAGCAATAGAAAAACATTCCTTGATGAAATTACTCTGCTCGTAATAACGCAAACGTCTATTCTCCAAAATTAAGAAGTAGATTTGTTACTAGCAAAGAAGCAACATATGGGGATGCCATGCAGGTGGCAAGGACTATAGAAGCTTAAAAGCTTTCGTTCGCAACCGAATGCTTCCGCGGTTTCCTCCAAGCGATTTAGTTTTTGTCTGGGAACTCAAACATTATTTTCTGTTGCAACTAAAGTCTGGCGGGTAACCGGCTGGACTTCAGTCGCAACATAAAATAATAACGTGATCTCGCAAAACCTTCTCAACAGTCTGGGCCGCAGGCTTGCGCGCAATTGTAACTCGACCTGATGCTTAGTATGTAGGGAGCGAGGAAGACTTATTGAAAAGAGTGAGAGAGGCCGATCATAACGCCTCGGAATCAAGTAGAGTTACTGAAAATAAAATGTATAAACCGACCACTTTCAGACTGAATAACTCAGCTAGTTTGACTTCTGGAGCCGATCGGAACTTCAATATTTTAATTTCCTTTTTCACTATTTAAAACAACTTTTGCCACTTTTTGAAGGTTTAGGTCAAGTAAAAAAATTATCAGACTTAAAACCTACGCAAGTCCTGTCTTGCAGTACAACTAGGAATTGATATTTTTCTAAGATACCTTTAGAAACGAAATAATAGTCAGCTGCAAGAGTTTTTAATTAACAGGCGGCTATGAAAAAGTGGCACTTCTTTTAGACTTATATGTAGGATCTTGGACTACTAATTCTAACACTAGTTCTTCTTAATAACAAAGACAAAACGTCAAGCTTTTGAAATTAACAAAAAGGTCATAGTATTTTTACATCCCAATTTCCACGGGAGTAACATGATATCTGACAAGTTGACAGATAATTATCTTGAATCTTGAGTTGCATGACGGGCTTTGCTCACCAAAAAATTTATGCAAATTAGGCTAAGGGTAGATTGAATCTACCCATGGCTTATGATTAACTGAAACAGGAGATCACAATTCGCGCCTTCATGCGACTGAGGTGTTACTTTGGAATCCTCGGTAATTACTTTTTTCGCACTTGCCGACATCCAAAAACACTCGGCGTGGGAATCGCGAGACGTGTAAATAAGACATTTCTTGACATAATAAAAAGGTTTTCCAGATACGGACACGCATTTGTTGGCTTTACTAGCGCGGAGACACACGTCAACTGTTACTTCTCACGCGAAATAGTATTCAAGGCATGGCTCTACTGTAAAAAAAACCCCGCTCTCTATTGATCGCACAACCATAACTATAAAAGGCGATAGCAAGAAAAATAACTAACACTCGAATGGGATAATCGAAGATCAAGAACAAAACCTTAACGACAGCGGGGTTTATATCTATTACTAAAGAGAAATTGAAAATGAAACATAAACTCTTTGCCGACTCAGAAAATATTACGAGAAGCTAAAGTTTACCACCTGAGAAA